TTGTTTGCAAAACTCAGTTACTTTTTTGAAGGAGTAACTATATAATTAATTCTCCAACATTGGTCATTATTTACTGTATTTTGCAGAGAGAGAGTTACAGGACTCTCTCCCAGACCACAGACTCATAATACAAGTCAGTTTTATATAAAAAAAAAAAGAAAGTTGTTTTCAAAATTGGAGTTCAAGTTATTTTTACTTCCAATAGTGTTAACATACTACACAGGTCATGAACAAGATTTCTTTTACATTTTATTGTAAGTGGGCTAAAGCAGTTAATAAAAATAGTCTAACATATAAATGTAATTGCTGTAATTTGATTATTTTAATAAACCATGAAACTTGGATGGATTCGATGCTGGTGTGACCACAGTGCACACATCTGCTGTTGCTCACAGTGGTCAGGGAGTTTGTGCGTTCGCTCAGACACGTGAAAAATTAGAGGAAACATTGCTCAGCAGTGTACTTTTTATTTTATTTTTTTTTTTACCAGGGTTGACTAAATTACTCTGTTACAACAGAAAAAACGAACTGCACTGGACTTAACCTGTGCATGATTCCAAACATCCACCATATAAACCTGACCTGACCTTTAGGATGTACAGGACATGAAAAATTATTAATATGAAGATCTTGACTATCTGGGTATAATTAAAGGTGCACACTTGGGCTTTTTAGGGTGATGGGGTCTGGCCACCCTGCTAGGCAGGTGAGTGGTGTGGAAACCCACGTTTGCAAATTTAACTTGAATGAGGAGATGTAAGATTTTCAAATTCTTACCCAACATGAATCTATTAAAAATCTTGGGACAAGTTTAAATCCTGGTGACTTTGGCCTCAGGAACCATGTAATCCTACTGTTTATTAAAATATCATAGAATTCAGAGATCTGTTGAGGTGTTAATCGTTATGTTTTGGCAGACGGTTCAATATGATAGGAAAGTGTGTTTGTAGCGTTACCGTGTACGAGTGCTTGTAATTCCAAGACAGCACCAGTTTTATCACAGCTTTGAACCAGTGATGGAAATGTGTCCTTTCATTCTAAGTAAACTGACACTCGCTGCTGCCACATCAGCTATCACAGCCACATCGGGTACCAAATAAGACACTTTAAGTATTAAATATTTGTATTAATTTTCTTTTATTAAAATAAAAACTGGTTTTAGACTGATCTGTATCTATGTGAGGATCATTCGTCCAGATTTGATTCGTTCCCTTTCTCCACAACTCTAGGAAGGACTCCAAAGCTCTGGGCCAACAGTGGAAGAAAGGAGTTCCCGTTGAGGTTATCCCCATGGCGCATGTTCCCGTCTCCAGAACAATAGCCAAGCGTTTTGGAGGCGAGGCTAATTTAAGAATGGCTGTCAGCAAAGCAGTAAGTGGACTGACTCTAACATCTGTGACATCTCAGCTGCACCTCTTTGTTTCATTGCTCACAGCTTTGCTTTGGTTTTCCTCCTGGATTTTCATTCAGTGGTTCTCAAACTTACCATTGAACTTTTAGCATTAATCAACAGTTAAAAAGAATTTACGTTTAAATTTAGCCATAGGCTGTGCATAAAAGAGACATTTCAGTGGCAGCATATTGGTTAATAACGTTTGTTTGCTTCTGGGGACTTGTGCCTGTTGTTTGTCCCGACCAGACTTCCATAGGTGCTACACCGCAGTCACTGATCCCCATTTTCTACTTTTATTAGCAACATTTTAACCCTTCCCATAAAACAGAATCAAAAATGCTGCCGTGTATATCAGCCTGATGTTGCCTGTGTAGCTGGCCTCGGTGTAAAAGGTGATTTTACCCTCTGATCATCTCATTTCACTTATCCTACCTGCTAGTATTTCTATCTTTAAGTGTGTCCAAATTGAAGGATGTGATGATGGATGGTGATACCGCCTCATCAGTGACAGTGAAGCATTGCACTGGGCTTCACATGAAGGAGTTGAACCCACAAACAATAACCGGGACTTTACATTTTCTATATGTCATTTACTGAACTTGGTGAAGCGAGGAGCACATGGTTAAACGGTTTTTGAGTAACTTTGAGGAAGACTTAGTGAAGACTGCTCACATGCTGCTGTGGACCAGCTCATTGGCTGCAGTGCCTGTAGTGTCAATCCAGCGCAATTAACTAACTGCAGGGCTTTGTGAGTCGGCTTCATTAGAGGCTTGTGACAACTGTGTGAAACTGAGGAAAGTTTACACTGAAAGCGGAGGGCAAAGCCGCCTACACAGGCGCCGTAACTGCCTCATTAACACTCTGCAGACTTTAATAATTTGCCTCCTACTCGGTTCTTTCAAATGAACAACATCCAGCGAGAGACGGGAGCCTCTGTTTATTATTCCAGCTCTTAATGTTTTCATTGCTCTTTTTTTCTCTCTTTTTTTTTTTTTTTTTTTTTTTTAAATGCTGTTGAGCCTGGAAACTGTTTTGAGTGCTAATGAGTGGGACAGTTTGTTTACTCACAGATCCTTGACGATCAGACATGCTGTTATTTAATTGAAACTTCCTTTATAATCGCGCACGATCACTTAGTAATTACATGTGGCAGACCACACTCAAGCGTTTTGTAAACTGCTAAGGAGAACAATTATATTTCCAGCACCCGAGATAACAAGCTTTGCGTGTGTTCCCGTACTTTGCTGGAGCGACTGGGTTATGTATTTGTGGCTTTCAGGGTCCCGTGGTCACTGATAATAGCAACTTCATCCTGGACTGGAAGTTTGAGCATGCTCAGAACTGGAAGGAAGTGAACACTGCAATCAAGATGATCCCGGGTGAGGAACTTGGGGCGTGTCTCATTCTTGCTGTAAGTATATTGGTCCATCCATCAGTGTTCAGAGTGCTCAGCCTGTCTCTGTGTGCTTACAGGTGTGGTAGATACCGGGCTCTTTGTAGGGATGGCTGAAAGGGCCTACTTTGGCATGGAGGACGGAAGCGTGCAGGTTCGAGATCCTGCGGTCAACTGAGTTTTCCACAATCGACACCATCTCTCTCTGCTCATCTTTCCGAATGACCTCACCACTCCCACAAGTGCCATAGTCTTGATTTCCTCCGGGTGCCGTACTGTTTGGGTTGAGCTGCACCTCCTGCAAAGCAAGGCAGTTTTCACACATCTCACTAGGATCTAAATCTGAGGATCACTTGGTTTTCTCATCCTGCTGGTGGTGCTTCGGAGTTTTAAAGTGCCTGATGAGTAAAATCAAGTGTGCCGCATCTTCTTTCTTAGCCTGTAATGTTCCCCAGTTTGGCTTCCACACTGGGAATTTTGGCTCTTCTGCAGTTAGCGGGTTTGACCGAGTCTCTGCAGAGTTGTGGTTCTCAAGTATTAAGGTGAACCACTACAGTGCTGCACAGCCAGATTAAGGAGTGCCTTGAGATTTAAAAAAAAAAAAAAAGAAGACCTTTTTAAAGGCACATTTAATAAATAAATATCATAATTATATGTATATATAGTCTCCCTGCTTTTGGAGGGATGGCAAGAACGACTAATGAATATCCCAATTTAAGCAGCAAGAGGCATAAAATGATCTAGTGCAGCTATGAAGCCTCTAGTAATGTGTTACAAAGATGCACAATATAAAGGTGGAGTGTAATGCAAGTTTCCTTGTTGAAGAAGCCTAACATGACAAAACAACACAAGCTTACCCTGTACCTTTCAGTGACACTATATCAGTGTATTGTATCACTGTAAATACATCAATATTGTGACACTGTGTTGATGTATTTCCATGACTGCAGGTTACAGATTACAAACTAGAGGCCACCCTTGTTGAGGTGTATAACGGGTATAAAATCTCTGCATTTCGAGTCCACTGTGTCACACTACTGTAAAGTTGCTTTAGCAGAGCTGCAGGTGTAAGTGTTCATTTCACTGGTTGGTATGAAGCAGCTATCTGATTTCCTGTCCTGAATGAAGACAGATTGGGAAATATGTGTGGTTTCCTCTGAGGTTTCACAACTGTTCCTGTAAAGTTAGACTAATCATTGAAGGTTAAAGTCCTCAGCCTCACTGTTTGTCCAGGAACAAACCAAAACTAATGCACGTACACATCTCCTTCCTCTGACTCTGTTCATTTTGTGCCTGTATGTCACCTGCATGACCGTTACTTATCCTTTACACGAGTCATCTGGACACTGAACGCCTCCCACTAACATAACTTGAAGTAGGTAATGATGGTAGACAGCCATGCTATTTAACTTTGGCGTGCTGTAGATTATGTAAGTTTCACTAGAACCATGAGTACATTTTGTGTCTTGTAATAGAATGTTCTTTATGATTCAAGTACATACATTACATTACTACATTTTCATAGTTGAATGCCTTTAAAATATATTGGTTTAAGACAAAAGCGTTGTCAGTGTTGGTGAAACTGTACATCTTCGTAGTTCAGTTTATAGCATGGAGTCTGTCCCTTGAAGATCCCTTATGTTATTTTGTGGCCAAGTTACTGTCTCTGCCTGCATCAGCCATCACATGTTGTTCTTATGGTTTTCAAATTCAGCCGTTCCTTCGACTTTACTATGCCTTGCACTGTGGTTTTATTTTTGTGAATGTCTGTTTGTTTTAATGTAAAACTCTGAGAGACTCTGGAGATGGGGCAGAGCTGCGAAATTCAAGATCAAGTCATGCAAATGCAGTCAGTTGGCAATTATGTTTAAAAGCCACTGTGAAGTGCACACACTCGGATTCTGTTCTAATGTTATTCCAGTCTCATAAATCAAATTCAAGTGGCCTGGAGATGAAAGGTTAAGCGATCTGGGAATGTGTTTGGAATATTTTTGCACCAGCATGGTATTTTTTTCCATTCTTTTCTTTACCAGTTGACTGTGATTATTATTTTTGCTGCAAAGGTTCTAATTTCTTTGTCAACCAATACAGGACCAAAATTATAACTCAATGGCTTGTTTTATTTTTTTGTGATTTAGTGTGAGCATACTTGTTGACACTGATGATATTAGATGATATCCGTACCAATAAGTGGGATTTCTGAACATTACTTGACTTTGACCTTGTCAGTCACTGTACAACAGGTATACAAGGAACACAATTTCATTACAGTTGGTTAAACATGATGAAATATAAAAAAACATGTTAAAATATGTTAAACTTGTATAGCAGCAGAAACCCTATAACGTGCAAGGGTTGGGACAACAGAGCATGAAAGAGGGATGAGGATGCAGTGATGATGTCTGGCACAGACATCATCACTGCATCCTCATCCCTCTTTCATCGAAACAAGCAGCGCTTGGGTGCAGTGTCTTAAATGGAGGGAAGACGAGCCTCAGTGATTTTCTTCCACCATCCTCGCCTCTCTTCAGTCTTCCAATCAGATGTACTGCAGCATCCACTCCACACCTAGATGCAGCTGGTCAAAATGCCCTCTATGGTACCGCTCTAGAATGTAGTGAGGATGGGTGGGACTAGGGGGGCTCTCCTCATCCTGCGCAGGAAGTGCAGCCTAATGTTGTGCCCTCTTGACCAGTGACACCATGTTCACAGAGTAGGTGATATCATCCCTGATGTGGTGCTGCTGGCCGCCTCCTCATCAGCCGTGTTGATGAAACAAAGCGTCGCTGGGTTTGTTCTTCCTGAAGTCCGACGTTCAGGATCAGGTTGTTGACTCCACACCAACTGTTACACCTCCTCTCTGTAAGCCAGGTGGCCCACCGCTGTTGCATTGCCCGCAAACTTCATAGTGTGGTTAGTGGTCATGTGTCAGTCATCAGCGCGAACAGCGAAGTGCTCAGAGTGGTGTTCTCCAGGTGTGCAGGCTTCAGTAAAGAGCAGAGGAGATGGTGTCCTCGGTGGAGCAGTTTAACCAGTAGGCACACTGGAATGAATATAACAACGAGCTGTGCTCGAGTTTGTGCAGTGCAGGAAAGTGCCACCCTCCTTTTTGGCCACAGGGAGGCGCTAGATATTCAACCTGCTTGGTGTGCTTAAGGTAGTTTAATGCCAGCACAACAAAATGTTCTATATACAGATTATGAGCTAATACCCTTATGTACAATAAATAGCTAAATTCGACTTTTGTATATTGAGCAACTGTAAATGCTTTGACATGTTTATAATAACTTGTGTAATATATAGTTATAACACACAAATTTTCTGTAATGTCAGGAGCTTTTCTCCTGTGACTTGAGTTCTAGACATTATGTCATTGTTATCTCTGTTTAAATGAAACTGAGAACGATAACTCGTGATCAGGACCAGGAACTGCACCGATCTTCTATACTGAAGCCACGTTGATGCTTTCATGTTGGCTGTCTTGACAACAATTCATGAATGACAGCCTAAATGTCGAATCTAGTTGTTCCATTCAGTCACCCAGGACGCAAACTGACCAATAACGTCCCTGCCTGTCAGACCAACCTGTGTTATTGGTCAGAGGACGTCAACTCGGACCAATCACAGACCCGCTACGGAATTCGCCATCGAGGACATTTTTGCGTCACCTTTTGCTCTGGTCGTCGGGCAGCCGTCAATGCGCCTGCGTGGCTGTGACAGACAGCGGATTAGCCAATGCAGTACACTGTTTGGGAGGCTGGGACTTCCTGAGCCCGCCTCATTAAGTGACAGATGGGTAGTGCAATAGTATTCTGCTTAGTGTGCGAGTCTAGATGATTGACAGCAAATTATCCAACGAGAGGCGGCTACATAAATTTTTAACAAACTCGGGGATTCTACTAACCAATCCTAGTGTAGAAACAAGGCGGGATTCAGCGTTACCAAGGCAAGTCGAGTCCAGTATAAAGGCAATAACATGGTTTCCCAGTGGCTGTTTATGTTTACTTAAAGAACATCTCCGAAAAGGGCGTTTTAGAAGACACAGCTTTGTTTTCTGTTTTAACTACAGTTTTTTGGACCTTAAGTTTTTTTATGTTAAGATTTACAAGGCCAGTGGCATGTAAATCTAATCACTAATGTGCCAGTCTCACAAATGGAAAGGGGGTTTCACTTTGGAAACGTGAGCATTTCCCTGGTGCTCCTCTTGTTGCTGAAAGCGCTTATCGGATTTGGGACTTCGCAAGCTCAGGGCTCCACCATCGGGAGGGTGCCGCAGTCCACAACCGGGGGTTCAGGTTCGACCGCGGGGCAAGATGGTGCAGGAGTCATGAAGCGTGGCTTGGAGAACGTAGGCACCTCGGTCATTGGAGCAGACGTTACCGTGGAGGACGACGACAATGGGTCAGAGGCAGACGAATCACATGGAGAAAGTAACGGAAGCGTCAGAAAGACGAGGTAATTATAAAACAGCTGCCAACTGATAGTAAGTAACTACACATTAATTATATCGCACCAACACTCTAGCGCCTACAAAATAAAGACGACCCCTAAAACAACAAACACACAAACTAGTAACGCCTCCCTCCCCCAATGTATTTGTAAAGTCATTTTAAACTTATTACTTTTTTTGTCAAGCGATACTTCTTGTTTAGTATTCCTCCGCCGAAGCGGCGCATTCCAAAGTTGCTGGGGAAGTATTTGTTTGTGTCCACTTTGCTCATAAACCTCGTTTTACTGCGTGTTAAAATAGGCAGCCTTACAAACGGTGCCAAGAAAATAATGCGTCAGAAAGGTTAAGTGGAGTGTCACAGCGCAGAACAGGAAAATGAAGTGTTTGTGAGCGAGTTTGGCTTCGTGTCCGATAATGGACGCACACGGTAGCAGATGCGCTAATGCCCCGCTAACTAGAGCTAGCTGTTTTAATGTATTTATCTGGTGTCGGCAGTTTTAGGTAAGTTGCTAACATTTGGGTTACATGTCAGGGCAAAACGCGCTCCAGATAACTGACAGGAAAGTTTGGTGTACGATGAATAGCTTCTTCTTGCAGTTTATGGAAAAAATGGCTTTCTATAGTCTGTTGTTATTTCCAACCGCGAAAGGGGAACACGTTATGAGCTGAAATGTCATGGTTGCTTTTTGGGGTTCGCTGGAACTTTTGATTCTCTCTGCGGAGAAATACAGGCAACTATGAGCACATGCGCTCTGCTGTCCTAAGCCCGGTTGAGTTAATCCGAAAAGCGATCTGAAAGCAGCCCCAAGTTACATTGAATGGAATTTATGTTCCAAGTGAAGATGCAGCTGCTGCTTTCTTTGCAGATTTAAAATGCAAGATTCGTTTATTATAAAACTATAGAGCAGGATAACAGTGGTAACTGGTGACGTCCCCCTACTGTCTGCAGATAATCTGCATCACATTTACATGCACCAGTCTGTTTATTATGCTCTTAACCGTTGAGTTGAACACTTTGCATAAAGCGTTTGTGTTGATCTTAGCGGTTTAAAGCTGTAGCAAAGTGGCCCCGGAGAAGATACATGTAAAAGTATGCAAAATGACAAGCTGTTGTTTGTTTGACAGAAAAGGAGCTCAGGTTTGCTACACGCTGCTGCTGCTGCTGCTGTGGGGGGGGGGTCTCAGACACACCTGAGACCATGCTGCATGTCAGTGCTTTAACCTCAGACATAAAATACAACTCTAACGCGTTTAGTGCCGTTACATTTTCACATAACACCTTGAAAAGGCATGCGGCACTGCTGAGAAAGTCCCCTGGATGCCGCCAGTGAAAAGTTTACAGTCTGACACAGACCACATGTTTACCCAGTCCTGTTAGATTACTGCTGCTGCTGCTGCCCAAAGTGAGATGCAGTTCTCGCTGCATCTCACAGTGGGGAGGGCATTGATTTTGTCTTCCTTGGTAAACAGTAGGTTTGACGCCCACCTTAGATGTTTGGCGCAGTGTGTTCCTTTTCTGTTCTTTCATCTTATTTTTACCTTTACAAGTCCATTACACCCACTTTTTGAGTGTAATATAGCTCCTCGAATCAGGATTATATCAGCAGCCTTTCTTGCTTTAGGTATCCAAGGTCCTGAGGTCCTGTAATAAATTATTCCCTGTGTATTATTCTGAATACGCTGTCTGTTTTCCTGAGGGAGTCATAACATCGAAAACCTTGTTAGAGTCGAACCTTTTGAAGATGCGCAGTGTCGTTTCATCACCTTAATGTTCGAGCTTGCTGCCATTGTATCTACTTGACGGCTGAAACGCAGCGTGCCGCCAATTTTCTGCCAACCTTTTTTACACCACAGGCTCACTTTAAAGTTTTCTGACAAGACCCGAAGCACCGCGTGTTAGCCCTGGGTGTTCGAGGTACTATATAAACAATGCTCTTTCACAGCAGGGAGCAACTCGGCATGCTGTGTAGTCTGTCCCACCATACTCAAGTCAAGAGGTGTAGTTACTTGGGTGGGAAAAATGAAAGATTTCACAAAATCTTTCAGAGTACTGCCGCACTCAGTTTTACCACAGTTTTACCAGGGTAAACTCTTGGCACGAGGGCAACACAAAAGCTCCTGCCTGGCATCTGCCGTACAATATCAAGATGAACGTGATTAATAGGTAGAAGCAGAATATTCCCCTGCCAGCCACCTCAGCTGCTGCAGGGAAAACTCCTGAGCGTTCACCCTGGTGCTGGTCACACCCTTCCACTGCTCGCTTTCTCCCTGCCGTGTCACACTCTCTCTACTTGCTTTCTGTATGCTCTCTTACATATTTACAGGCTTTTTCGCCACAAACTACCGGCTTTTTTCTTTTCTGTTTTTTTTGTCACCTTATATAAATAAGTCTTTTGAGCAGTATGTTTAGAAGTTGTGGACTAATGATCTCTCGACTTTAGTAGTTGTTGTTTGTAAGGTTTTGTTTTTCCAGGGTTACAGCGCAGCAAGCCTGACCACACCAGTCTCTCCTTTGCATTTATTCTCTTTGTCTCTCGCCCTTGAATTTAAGTCTCCCCCTGCTTCTTCTCTGACACCCTCCCCTTATCCTCACACACACGCTGCTTTTTAATGTCATCCCTTGAGTATATACACTGCCGAGTGCTCCATTTCCA